GGTCTGGATGACTCCTTAAAGGAAAAATGCAGGCCTGGAAAACAAAAGAGACCACTGGAATGATGTGGGGTGAGCTGGAGGTAGGGGGATAGCTACATATCAGAATATAGCGCTTATGGAAATATGTAACGATCATTACTTAGCACCAGGGCTTTTTTCATCTGGAACGCACTGGAGCTCAGTTCTGGCACCTCTGGGATAAAAGTGGCATTGTCATTGGAAGAAAACAAGGGAGGCAATCATGGGAGCTGGTAGTGCAACATCTGGGGGGGGGCATTTCATACATTTTATGAAATAAAGAAAATAATGACATGCTCTCAAGATACAGGGCAGAGGTCCCTTCCTGAACACTTCTGCTGCCTGATATCCTTTTACCCGAAGATGATACTAGGGATGCTGCTTGGGACCTTCTGCATAGAAAGCATTAATTGAATTATGGTCTTTGCCAAGGTGTTTATTTTTCTTCTGCTGGAACTCACTCAGGTGGGCACCAGTGCCATTCCAGGAAAACAAGGGAGGCGTTCATGGTGAGTTCCAGTAACCTCTCCTTCTAGAAAAATAGCACTGCTTGGCACTGCAGAAAAAGCAATATCTATAAGCAGCGTGTTTTCATATACTGTATAGGTCTTTGTCTTTGACATGCAGCCCTTCCTTTCTTATGGCTGCCTCTTCATGGTTTTGCTTTAAAAAATATATCGGTTTTTTGTGGGCTGATAGTGTCACTGAGCCACATAAAAGCCATGGCAGTTGATCATTCCGGTGCTCTGCTGGTTCATCTTGTGAGAGTCTCTCACTTCCCATTACCAGAGCAAGGTTAAGCAGAAGATAAAGGTCTTCCTAATACATTCGCCTCACCCTCAGGCAGATATTAATAGCTTTTTGATTTGGATGCATCTCTGAAGAATTAAAATAGGAGGAAAGCCACCTCCGCAGAGAGTGGGATCCCCCCAGATTTGACCTGCTCACCTCAGTCTCTCACCTCTTAACCACACAACACTTCAAACCAATTAAAGAGAAGGAAAAGGAAACATCACAGAAGAGATAAAACACAGCTAGATTCCTACTAGGCAAACTTCTAAGAGTCCTACACAATATGCTTCAGTCAGAACTTCAGATTACGCACGTTCTTGTTTTTCAGTTGGTCATCTTTTATTTTTAATGGTGCACTTAGTCCTTACAATAAATAATGCAAAGAACAGTAATATCTTAAACTCATTTTAATATTATTTTGCTATATATGTTTGGATACCATTGGATGCCATTGAATCAAGCTAGCAGACCAAACTGGTCAAAACAACACTGATTTGGAACTTCTTAAGATGTTGTCATCAAATTTGGCAAAGTGGCCCCTGCGATCAAGAATCAAGTTTTCATCTATGTTTAGCTACAGTTGGATGACACTTTGAATCAAGATGGCATACTAAACCTATCCAAATGTCACTGATTTTGACTTATTTGAATTGCATAACATTTGCATATCATAATCTCCTCCTCACTGTCAGGAACCATCATGACAGATTTGGTAGCGATATCTTAAGAGGTGTCCAAATGTATCAATAACAAGCAGAAAGACAGTCAAACAGCTTTCCAAAATATATAGATATCTATAATCCATCTAAGAGATGGCATTCCCCTTCACAGAACTGGTAAACTCCTGCGCACATCTGTCGCCCCAAGAAATGCCTTTAAACCTTTGCTCTGTGTCTCCTTCATATTTAAGAGAAGGAAAATGTGGATTTTCCGGGGGGGGGGGGGCAGCTCACAAGGTAACCAGACAGGGAGCTTTTTGCTCCTTTTCTTTTCCCCTCTTGCTTTTCATTCTTTCTCCATTATGTAAGCACTTGCCAAAAGTAAAATACAGTTTCCGAGACCAGAACATCTGCAGTTCATTCAGTTTAAATGTAATAATTATTGCTTTCGTCTCCCACAAGGCCAGCAAAATGCAACTAAACACAATAACCAAATACGAGAGAAAAAATGGATTCTGCAAAAGGCTTGCCGTTCCTTTGTGGAAGACATGCCCTTCAGCATGGAGGCCCTGCTTCCTGTTCCCAGATGCAAGAGCTGTGCTTGCAGGAGTGCCATTCTCAGAGACACTCTTCTTCTTAAACAGCTTGCAAGTACAAGTAGGGCTGGTTCCAGATGCTGTGGGCCCTTCATATGCAGCCACGGGAAACAGACGGGCCTGCGCTTATCCGCTCTTAGATATACATGCCACAAACATTATGACACATCCATGTACTCTTTCCCACTCAACATATAATAGACAAACACCATGTAACAACACGGGGACACGGGTGGCACTGTGGGTTAAACTACTGAGCCTAGGACTTGCCGATCAGAAGGTTGGCGGTTTGAATCCCCGCGACGGGGTGAGCTCCCGTTGCTCGGTCCCAGCTCCTGCCAACCTAGCAGTTCGAAAGCACGTCAAAGTGCAAGTAGATAAATAGGTACCGCTCCGGCGGGAAGGTAAACAGTGTTTCCATGCGCTGCTCTGGTTCACCAGAAGCGGCTTAGTCATGCTGGCCACATGACCCGGAAGCTGTACACCGGCTCCCTCGGCCAATAAAGCGAGATGAGCGGTGCAACCCCAGAGTTGGTCACGATTGGACCTAATGGTCAGGGGTCCCTTTACCTTTACCTTACCTTTATGTAACAACACAGCAGAGACACAATACTCAGTTTTGTAAGTGCAGAGGGCAAGAGACAGGCACCCTCTGCACACCCCCTCACCCAGCAACACTGCGCTCTCTCCAAGCTCTGTGTGGCAAGACCACATGTTGGCCTATTCACATGCCAACAGCATAGCGGCAGAATCAGAAGTGGAAGGTCCCTTCATCGTAGTCACACCCACACGCCTTGTAAGATTATTCAATAATCTTGCATTATACAATAATAATAATTAGGAATGCATTACAACCATCAATACAGATCTTCATGTGTTGCCTTTCAAGGAACAACTTGAGGAACATTCTCTTGAAACGGAAGCAGTCCTTGCATTTTCAGTGTTCTTGAATGCTTAGCTTTGGCACATGTAGAACAACTCCTCGTTGGTGTTTTCCTTATGTGCCATCTGCAGAGTGACCCTAGGAGCCGGTCCTCTGTGACTGATGGACTGACTGGCTCCAGTCAGCACAAAGGGTGAGAAGACTTCTTTGCAGCAGCTAAAAAGCTGATTAGATGGCTCTAGGACACTAGCAATAATGACTCCGGCCCACTACACAGCATCTGCATGTGGGACCAGGAAGCAGGGCGTATGTGATGAAGGGTGTGTCTTCCATGAAGCCATTTGCAAAAGCAACTGGGGGTCCAGGTGCCTGCATTGCTCACATGTGAATGGTGTGTATGGATGGGCTGATGTGGACAGAGACATACCTAGGCTCCCTGTGCCCTTGGCAAGGTGATGTTGGCCGCCCAGAGCAGCGGAGGAGCAGCCTGGGGAGTGCATGGCGGGCAGGCAGGTTCCCAGCCACTGCAAGTCAGAGTGGAGAGGTGCAATTTTTGCCCCCAGCCCAGGCCTGCACCCTTGATGAAAGCCAACCAGCCCAGCCCCTAGGCAAACCCCTGGATATTGGTACATAGGGCTGTCCACTGTTTTGTTTATCGCAGACTTGAGCTGGGCCTGTGGGTTGGCACAGTGCTTCAAAACACCTGAAAGCACTGAATAGGTAAAGGAGATGGCTGAGAAGCAGGTGGCCTCCAAAGGTTGTAGCAGGTGCTGGGAAGTTCCACCTTTTCTCACCAAGTGTTGTTCCTTCTCACCCGTTTTGGAGCTGGGCCTTGATGCTGAAAACAAGGCCTGAGTGGCCCAAGCTGACCACGTGCTGTGGACATCTTTTCACAGTGTCATCCTTGAGCTTTGCCCAAGTCCCTGTCCAGAGTCTAAAAGTCTCCCCAGGGGAGATGATACAAGAAGCTGAAGGAAAGGGGGTAATGGGGGGAGGGAGAGAAAACCCCTGGTTCGCGCTTTCTATGCCATCCCTCTGCTGGAGGAAAGAGCTGTGTATGCCACATGGCCTACCTTGCACCCCCTAGACTAGGCACCTACCCTCACAGAATTGTAGGGTTGCAAGACACCTCAGGGTCACCTGGCCCAAGCCCTGCAATGCAGGAATCTCAAGTACTGTAGATCATATATGACAGACTAGGCTGCAACAGAAATACGGCCTGGAGGACTGTCACCAGTGCTGAAGCAAGTTTCAACCGCCAACCCACTTGGCTTCCTTATTCCTGCAGAAGAAGTCATGAAGCTGAACTGGGGCCAGTGGCAGCGCCCAGGACTGTGGGTCATACAGGGAAACCTCAGGGCTCTTTCTCGCCCCCCTCATTGTGTGTGTGTGTGTGTGTGTGTGTGTTAAATAGCTTTGAGACTTCAGGATTGTCACCCTGTGTGACACAAGAGTAAGCCAATACGCTGATGAGGACCCTAAGTCCATTTCCCCGAAAGTAACCTCCGCTGACTGGCCTTCCAGCTAGAGTTCTGCGCAGCTCAATCAGACGAAGGTTAACGTTTAACAAAATGTTTTAGGGATTTTTTTCAAGCGTCTAAAACAACCATTATAAAGGACTGCTGCGAGAAATCGCCTTCCCTTCCATTGCAAGGAGTCTGGCAACACGCGCAGACGCCCCTCGCAGGCGGCCCCAAACTGCCAACTCTTCCCCGGGAGGATCCCCGCGTTGCGGCGCCCGCTGCCTCGGGAGAAAGTGGCCCCGAAGTCCGCGGCGCTTGGTGCCGAGGAGGCCCGCCGGGGAGCCGGCTCAGGGGCGGCTTCCCTCCCCCGCGGATCGGGCCCCCCCAGCAGGAGCGGGAGGAGGCGGGCGGGCGGGCGGGAGCAGCGTCCGCCCCGCCGGTCCCCCTGCCCCACCTCCAGCGGCAGCCGGGGCGGCGCGCGTTGGCGGGCGGGCGGGGGGGGGCCGGTCACATGGCGCCTCAGCTGGGCCGAGGCGCGCCGGAGGAGGCGGAGGCTGCTGCTGCCGCTGCGGAGAGGGCCGGTCGGGGCTGCTGGCAGGCGCTGCTGACGAGGCGGACGCTGCCCGCGAGCGCGCAGGAGGCGCCCGGCGAGCCCCGAGAGCGCAGCCGCCGCCGCCGCCGCCGCCAAATGCTGTGCTTGGTGATCGCCGCGATGAAAGGTGAGCCGCGCGGCGGCGCCCGATCCGCCCGGGCTGCGGCGCTGCTTTCTCCGGCAGCCCAGGCGCTTCCGAGCGCGGTCCGGCTCCCGCCGCTGCCGGGTCGGTGCCTGGGGCGGGCGGGGGCGCCACTGCCCTTCCTGGGGGCTGGGGGGGGGCGTGAGGGGGCGATCCGGGGCGCCAGGACGGGGCGGGGGAGAGGCAACTCCGGGTCCGCGAATCCGAAAGGGCTCTTTGGCGTTACGTAAAGTAACCGCTCGGAACCCACCTCGCGAAGTTGCCCCCTCGTCACATGACGCCCCTTGGCTCGGGGTGCAAGCCTCTTGGCCGTAACGTCGGAAGGGGCCTCCGTCCCGCTCGAGCTGACCTCGGGGCAGGTGCCCCGTCCTGGAGAGGGCCGGTCTGCCCTTGGCAGTGAGTCTGCTTCATTTTTTGTGTCTTTGTGTGCCACTAACCCAGTTGTGGTCTGAAGTCTGCAGAGTGCTGGACTTGAGATGCCACATGGACCCCCCCCCCAACTTTCCAGACATAGACTCTGCACGGTAAGAGAGGGCACTTGAGGTAGAAGGACCTGTAACTTATTTATCCTTCCAAGTTTGAAGTCTTTAAAACGTGGTTGTTCTTTTAGATGCGATCATTGCCTATTGTTAAATATTGAGGGGAATGCATAGCTTCAGAAACATTCTCCTCGCCCAGAACAGACAGAATATTGAATTGAGGGGAAACTTTGAAGCACATGTTATTTCTGTGGGGCAGTGATGGAGAGGGACACCAGAGGCATGTGCCCAACTGCACAGTAACAAGTTCTCCTCTCAGCCCTACATGCTTGTGGTTACCTTCCATTTCCCTCATATTTTACGTCCTCACAATGAGGTTGGGTTTGGATTTGAAAATGACTGATAGGACCCAGAACTGGCCAGATGATCTATTTTGCGGTGCAGGAATCCTGTGCATGTTTACTTGGATATAAATCTCACTGTTTTCAGTGGGGCTTATTCCCAGGAAACAGGGCATAGGAGTACAGCACCAGTGGACCAGCGGATGTGGCAGAAAGTGGGTAAGCTTTGGGGCTGCAAGGAACTCTTTGTCGCCTGAAAATGATAGCAGGAAACTGAACTGGGTCTGAATGAAAGTGTTTGAGGATAACTACCTTAAGCTGGGGAAAGGAGATGTTAGGCTAAGGAGAATTGTGACCGACAGCTGTGAGCAAAACCCTTTGCATGCCGGTCAAAAAGACCATTAATCCAAAATGCCGTCTTCTGTGCTGTTTGGTAATAGTCAGGCATAATCCGCACTAACCCCGTGTTCTCCACAGTGTCCCTTCCCCAGCTATAAAGCTTATCAGTTGTTGTCAATTGCTGTGTTGATTTTGTTTCCAGTGTGAGAGAGTCTTTACACTTATTATATTTTATTGTTCTGAATTCAGCTCAGCCAAGACATCTGTCAAAGGTCAGCCTTTGTGGCTCTGCAGGATCTCTTGTTATTCAAAGGCAAGAAGGCAATTTATGCTCTCCCCACAAACTTAAATGGGAAGAGATTACTTTCAACCCCTCCTCTGTAGCACAGGTTCAGCGTAACATTGGCTAAAGTTGCACAGGGGACATGGATTAGGCTGTGTTACTCATGTCTGGTCTCTAAAATGTGATTTATCCCATTTGGCAGGACTTCTGCAAAGTCTCTGGAATTCTGCTATGAAAAGCCAGCACAGGCAAAAATAGTCGGTTTTTAGAATCATATCCATTTTTAAAAGAGGAGCTAAAAGGAAGAACTGGATTGACCTTCCTTGATTGGATCATGGAAAATCAGAGGTTTTAAAAATCCCAGTCAGTGTCTGTCCTCAGTTGCCTTGGTTTCAAGAAAACCAGCGGAAGGCTTGCATTTTTGTCTGTGTGAGAAAGAAATGCAAAACTTTTTGTGGAATGTTTTCAATTAGCTCTTCTGCAGTATAACAAAGTGATTTTGCAATTTCGCATAGTTAAAATATAACTAAATTGAAATAATGTGACCATCTTGATAGTGAATTTTGTAGAAACACCATATACCTTATTATCAAGTAACACAATTTTCACGGTGTTGTTTCTCTGAAAAGAATACACAGTCTGGATTTCTCTTTCTGACTAGGGCACTAAATGATGGGGCTGTGGTGTGTTTTTTCATGATGATTCTTCTGAAAACAGATTGGTATATTTGTTGCTTTTTTATGAAGCAAAGCACTAAATGAACACTGTTAACATTCCATTAAAGTCTAGTTTGGCCTATACATTTTTTGTCATTGGGTGTAGGAGAAGTTTGATCAGCCGAAAGAGGGGCACTGCAGTCATTATTAGAACCCTGGATCTGGTTTCCTGGAAAGGGTGGAATCAAGATGCAAACCAGTATAAATATGGCACAGAGTAGTTATTTTAAGTCTTATTTTGTTGCATAAGTTTAAGAAGTGTATCTCAATGTGTATCCTGCTTGTATCCCAGAGCAAATGCAACAAGAAATTACAAAACAAATTGATAGTCTCTTTTTAGTAGTGCAGCCCAAACTTCTGCATGTCTACTTGGGTGTAAAACCTATTGAGTTCAGTAGGACTTACTCCTAGGCAAGTCCATCTGGTAGCAAGCCCCACTAAACACAACATTCCTAGGATTTGTCATTAGACAAGCTCTTACACAATTCTAATTTATAAATTAAGGTCAGTAATGTTTTTTAAAGATCTCCTGGTATTGTTATTAAGTCACTTAACATACATTGGATTGAAGTTTCTTGTGCTAACCTATTGCATTCATTTATTTATGTATTTATAAATAACTGTTTGGAAACACTTCCTAAAATACGTCCCAATCCCAAGGAGGCAGACTTGGAATCAGACCCTACTGAATTAGTAGGGAACGACTTCCTCGGAAGCTGCATTTAGGACTGCAGCCTTAGTGCAGCCAGAGTGGCTCAGTAATGGAATCTTGCAGAAACCTCTGAGCTTTGAGCTATTTAAGCAACATGGAGTGCAAAGCTGAGCCCACCGTGCACCCTGCCACAGTGAGGTTGCAGATTTGGGGTGCTATTAAGGGAGACAGAAAGAGAGTCACATAAGTCTGAGCAATGATCCATGATCCGCTGGGAAGTAACTTTGTTCAAGTCCATTGAAATGAATGGGAAATGCACAAGGGCGGTGATTTTCAACCAGTGTGCCAGGGCACTCTGGAGTGCCTTGAATGCTGGTCCGGGGTGCTGTGGGCAATGCTGGCCTCTGTCACACTTTCCTTCCTTCCCTCCCTCTGATGCGCTCTTGCATCCCTGCCTCCCAAAGACTTCCACAGCTGTTTGCTGCAACAGCCCTGACGACAAGTTCCCCTGGTGAATGGTGGCTCTGGGGCTGGCCAGGGAGTGCTGATTGCCAGGAGGTGAGGCGCCTCAGAGACCAGGGGTGGCTGCTGCAGCTACCTGGAGGACTCTCGAGAGGAGGCTGAGGGAATACTCCACAAGGGAAGGTGTTTGAAAAAGGGTGAGAGGCTGCCAGCTTGGCAGGCAAGGGGTGACATAACTGGGCTCCTGAGACCCACAGCAGAGCCACAGAAAGAATGGTCAAGGGAGCCGTGAAAACCTCTGCACTAGGGCATCACTTGTGCATGTATCCCCTATGTTTCAATTGGCTTGTTCACCTCTACCAGCTCCTGTATTAATGCATGGGAAATATATTGGGCCACCAGGTTTGCTTGATAAAATGGAAACAATGAGAGAGGACTGGGTTTAAATGGAGTGCCTATGGATGGGGCGAGGAGAAAGATACTGGTGCCAGTGGCATGACTTGTCAAGGTCCCTGCAAAAGCTTTTTGCGGGATGTAGTCTTTGATACGCTGCTTTTGCCTGGGCTCACTAAGTGCATTTAGGTGCAGATCTTTCCGCCTGCCATGCCATGATCGGGGACAACTGATCTCTTGCAATTACTGTGAATGTCAGTGTTGAGTTGTCTTCAGTTTTGACTGTGACACTTTTACTATCTGGCATTTCGTTTCATTCATTTCAAATGCTGTAGTTGAAATGTATGCTAGAGTGAAGCTTGGCTACATTTGCTTTTTGCCCTCTTAGGTCTCCCTGGCAAATAGGTTTGTGAAAATTATGATCCCCCCCCCACCTTCCCTGCTCTTCCTAAAACCCCATACCTCTTGTGTTGCACTGACCTCTGGCTGCCGGGAAAGAATGGGTTCTCTGTGGTTTGCTCCAACAGAATCAGACCAGAAGCAATGGGGAAAGCCACTTTAAAAATGGTAAACTGAAATACATTGGCGGGAGATGCAGAAATACGTTTAGGTGGTTATGATGTTTTATTTATTCCTGGTGCCGTCATTGGAGTTTTGAGGAGATGTAATTATTTATGACTGCTCTGAAGATGAAGGAGAACAAAAGTGAAATATACAAATTTCTGTGGTCTTAAAATAAAAATAGGGAGGCAGAAACCCGTTAACTCTCTTCCTTCAAACAAATGAGCTTCCTAACCAAAGATGGTTTGTGAGCTGGTAGCCTTATTTCAGATACTCTTTTCTTGCTTCATAAAGCACGAACAGGACCATTGTGTACAAGGGAAGGAAGTCCCTCTTCATGTGTGTGGAACTTGCTCCCCCAGGAGGCAGTGTGACCACCAGCTTGGATAGCTTTAAAAGAGGACTAGATAAATTCACAGAGACTAAGGCTGTCTATCGATGGCTAGTAGCCAGGATGGCTCTGACATTCTTCTGAACACCAGTGGCAGGAAGTCACAGAAGGAGAGAATGTTCTTGTGGTCAAATCCTGCCTGTGGGCTTCCCAGGGGGGCATCTGGTCAGCCACCATCAGAACAGGATGCTGGAACAGATGGGCCATTGGCCCGATCCAGCAACCTCTTCTTTTATGTTCTTATGTGGGGAACAGTGGCAGCAATAAAAGGGCCCATTGATGGGTTCAGGGCCTGCTCAGATGCTAGACGAGGTGATCACGGCCAACCTCCAGGAAAACTTCTGAGGAAGCACTCCTGGGCAACCAGC